ATTTTTTGTGTATTAAAACTTTATCTAATTCAAATAAAATTCCAAATCAGCCGTCAAAAATTCAAAATCCTGAAAATCGAAACCCTGACCTTAATACTCAAAATCCCTAATCTCTATCCCCTTCTAAGTTTTAACCACCTATCAGACCTTGTGCTTCCTATCCCTTCGCCCAAACTTCTCCCACACCCATCACGATGGTTGAGGTTTGAAACGCTGTCTTTTGTCGCCCAGGGCAGTTCTGTCGTGTGTCTCCGGCGAACGCGCCTAGGGCAGTTCTGGCATTAGCATTAACAAGATGGTCTACTAACCACCGCCGTAGAGAGAGAGAACGAAAGAAAAAAAGGGTTTCAGAAAGAGTGGGCTGGGGCCAGCGCGTCGCCGGTCCGTTGGCCTCCGTTCGTCGTCCACAGGGGATGGAAGCTGGGCTCGGATCGGAGTTCGTGTGTAGAGAAGGGAGAGGGCGTGCTTTCGCCGCTGATCTGGTCTCGGGGCTGAGGAAGAATTGGGCTCCGCCATCCGCAGTGGTCGTGGGTGGCCTGGATCTCCCCGGGGCCTCGATCTGGTCGGATCGTGGTGGGTGAGGGTTTGGCGTCTTGGGTCCGCCGCCGGTTGGCGAGTCTTGGACGTAGCCCGACTAGCACTGGCGTTGAGGGGCCCGACTGAGGAGGAGTTTGCGTTCGTGCCGCCGGGTAAGCGTGGTCTGCGGTGGTTCTGGTCTTGCCGTGGGAATGGCCAAAGAGGGGCCGTGATTGCTCTCCTGTAGGCTAGTGGCCGGAGTTGGATGGTTGTAGCTTCTGGGGGATTGGCGTTGAGCGATCCCGGAGTCGTGGATCGAGGAGGAGGCAGCGTTCCGGGTTGGTTTTCTGTGTTGTTTGTGTGTTCAGTGCTTGTAATAATGGCAGTGGTCTCTCCTCTTGCCCTCTGTGTCTTGTTTGTTGTTGTTTTGTTCTTGGTTGTAGTCTCTGTGTTTGTAAAAGGGGTCGGTCGTTCGATTTATAGTTTGGTGTTGGATTACGGTGATCAGCCGTTGTTTGGCTAGATTTTGTTTGGTGGGCGGACCTCGATTTTGTTCCACTCTTTGTAGGAGATCTTCTCCGTTATTGGGATAGGGGTTGCTCCGGTTTCTTTCGAGTGGGCTAATAATCTGCGTGATGTTCCGTTGGTTCATTGTAATCTTTGACTCGATCCGGTGGTCTTCTGGCCGTTCAATGGCTTATCCGGTTACTTTTCCGATTGTTTTGGGGGTTTTGTCCCTTCGCGTGTACTTTTAAGCCTTATTTAATTTAGATACGATATTTTTAAAAAAATTTTATTATAATAAAAAAAATTAAATTTAATATTTTTTAAAAATTTTTATTATAAAAATTTAAAATTAAAAATTTAAATCGATAAAAAGAGTAAAATTTAGCCTTATTTCCTACGTTTAGAGCAAAAAAAAAGACCTGTCAATTTGAGATAATTATTTTGTTAAAATAGCTATCTGCTGCTAGTTTCTATTTTTCTTTTTGGGAAATTGTTAGATAATTGTGTTGTTTCAAATATTTATGGTAATGAACAAGATATTTTTACAATTGTTAGCAAATAGAGTTTTTTTAATTAAAAGAAGATTTGTAAAGTTAAAAAAAAGTGAGTTTATCAACTAAAAGTAATAAATATTAAGGGTGGTAATTTATGGTAGTTGGTTGTATTTGTATCAATTTATTTATTAATCGTGTTAAAAAATATAAATCTAAACACGACATATTTTTTAAACGTGTCAAAAATATTAACTCAAATACGATTCATTTATTAATCGTGTTAATTGTGTCAGCTCGTATAACTCATTTAAATGACTTATTTAACACGGTCAAGATATGTTTAACATGTTTATTAGTCAATTTATTTTTTCATTTAAGAAAAATAAATGAATTTTACCTACAAATATTAAAATTCACATTATTTGTATTTAATATGTCATATAAACTTTCATGTTATATCACATATCATTAGATTGCAGATGACACATATAGTTAATCGTGTCAATTCGTGTCACTTCGTATTAGGAGGTCAACCATAACCTAACTCATTTATTAATCGTGTTAATTGTGTCAACTCAATTATGACACAAACCCATTTACAATAAACCCAAACTTGTTAACTTTGCGAGTCGTGTCGTCATGTCGCTACCCAGATTGCCACCTGAATAAATATGATAAAATACATAAAATATTGATTAAAAATGAAGAGAGAAAGAGGCAAACTCATTTTTTTTTTTTAAACTTGTTTAAGGTAAACAACAAGAGAAAAATAAATTATTTACAAATCTAGTGTTGGCTTCAAAATATTTTTGATTATTTTATTTACGTCAAACATGTCAAAAAAAAGGAAGAATTTATCTAAAATGACACATCGTTTATAGTATTACATTGGAGATGCTCTAAACTCTTTATTTAGAATATATTTTTAATTTAACAATATTGTTAATCGTTTCTTTATAGTTATTGAGATAATATTATCTCATATATACTATTTTTTGTATCGACAGTTATAAACTTGCATAATTGATTTTAATGGGTAATTAACAAAGAATATAAATGTCATTAGACCATCTTTAATGTAATTGTTAGTACCAATTGTATATTTAACATTAAAACAAATGATATGAAATGTTGTTTTTATTTTTGCTCCAATGCATAATGCTATTTGAAATGTTAAATTTATTTTTTCTCATAGTGGTTAAGCTTTAAAAGTTGTATAAAGAAACTTTTATTTTTAATTTATTTAGAAAATATAAAAGTTACAATGATTACATAAAAAGTAAACATTTCAATCAATAAGAGCATCTCTAATACAATGATATAGTTGATGTGTCAATTGTAAAATAGCATTTGACTACAAAAAATATTATCTAATGCAATATTTTTTTGTGTCAAATTTCTCATATGTTATACTTTGTGACAAATTCCCACCAAGTATAACATATAAGAAATTTGGCATTTGATTACTATTACTTGAAATGTTTACTTTTTCATGTAATATATTAACTTTTGCATTTTATAATTCTTTTAAACATAAAAGTTTACTTTTACAACTTTCAAAACTTAATAATTATGGGAAAAAAAATTTAGCATTTCAAATAGTATTATGCATTGGAACAAAAATGAAAATAACATATCATATCACACTTTTAATGGTAAATATACAATTGACATTAACATGTGCATTGGAGATGGTCTAACAATCAAGTGTCAAATTTTTCATATGCTATACTTGGTGAGAAATTTATCACAAAACATATGAGAAATTTGACACAAAAAATAACATTTCATTAGAAAGTGTTTCTTGCACTCAAATATTAAATTTGCAATAGACACATTATTTATAGTATTGTATTAAAAATGCTCTTATAAATATTTTACAGACTTATATGTAAATATCACAATTTTTAGGCATTCTTTTTTTTTCATGCATTGCGTAATGGACATATATGTAATTAGCGCAAAAAAAAAAGAAGTAATTACAATACATGACAAAATTTCATACTTTGAGTTAAAATTTAATAAAAATTTTAAAATATTATAAATATAAAAAATAACATAGTAATTATTACAATAATATCATATTTTGTAATACATAATGACATAGTCATTATTTTAATGATATAAAATTTTATTATTCTTGTAACATTTTAAAATTTTTTGTTAAATTTAAACATTAATATCAAATTTGTGCTATATGCGTAAATCACCCAAAAAAATATTTACTGCAAAGTTTTGGTTGATGGTGAAGATGGGCTTCAACTGTCGGCCTTAAATTTACGGCTTTAAAGAGAAAAGCCATAAATTTTAAGCTTGAATTAATATGTAGAAAAAATTAGATTGATATATAAGCACATAAATTATTACACAGAATATTATAATTATGTCATCACATTATATTTAAAATATCGTATATACCCTTAGATACTGGTTAGTATCCGACCAGGATATCAGTATCTAACTGAGATATGTGCCGGTATCCGGTGAACAACCGTCAATGTTGGCTACAGTAGTCAGCGGACACCTGTCGATAACTGGAACGCTATGATACCAGCTGGTTACCAATCGGTAACTGCAGGTATCCATCTAGATACTGTGGTTACTTTGCAGTCACCGATAGGTGACCGTCGAAATTCATCTAGAACCGCCATCATTGGCGGTCTGCCACCGCACTACCACAAGAGAAATACAAAAATCAGAAAAAGTATCCAGAAATGCACACATAATCCACAAAATTACACACAAAATTCCAAAAAGTAATACAACTCCACAAAATCCAGAAAAAAAAGTTGAAAAGAAAAACTAAAACACCAGATTCAATCAGGCCTTGGTTAGGAAATCAATGAGCGGCAGGTGGAGGCCGACATAGCGCAACAGCCGCTTGACCCGCTCAATCAACTCTGGAAGGGTGTGGAACTCGGCGGCGAGGTAGCGGAGCTTGCGAGGCACGAGCTTGGTGCTTGCGACGGAGAGAAGGCCGCCGCCGAGCAAGGGAACGACGGCGGCGGCGGCGGGGTGTTGAAGCATTGAAAGCATTTGAGGGATTTGAAGATGCGGAATTTCAGGAATTGGAGCTTGAAAAGATATGGCTGGTGTCAGAGTTTGGGGAGACGGAGAAGAAAGGGGAGGATGAAGAGGAGGTGGTGGCTCTGATGGACATGGCTGCAGAGGAAAGTCTACGGGAGAGGTTGGAGAGAGAGAGACGAGAGAGTTAGAGAGAGAGAGAATGACACCTGTGAGTGATGAGAAAGAGAGAGAGAAGACAAAAAAAAAAAATAAACTTATTCAAGCAGTACAATGGTGACGTTTTTTGTAATAGTATTAGGTGCTATGGGAAAAAGTCAATCCATATATAAAATCATATCTCTTAAATTTAGCCCAAACAGGCCCAAGAGAAAACAACATGAAACGAGGGCCGAGGGGCATTTTCGGGAGGCAGACACAATATTCGAATGTTGGATTCCCAATTAAAAGGATATTACGAAGGGAGAGGAGAAGAGTTAGGTCTTCTTCTGGTTGGTAGTAGTTGTTGCAGCAGTGACCGAGAGCGTCTGTTAGAGAGAGAAAGACAAAGACAAAGAGAGAGAAAGACAGAGAAAGAGAGAGACGATGCCTTGCCTGAACCTTTCGACGAACGTCAACCTCGAAGGCGTTGACACTTCGTCCATCCTCTCCGAAGCCACCTCCATTGTCTCCAAACTCATCGGCAAACCCGAGGCCGTATGATTCCCGTTCCTCTCTCTCTCTCTCTGTATTAAAGATACCTTTTAGGGTTCATTTATTGAGGTTTTCTTTCTCGCCACAATAATTTTGGCTTCGCATTTTCCTATTCTGTGTTCTATGTATATGTGTGTATATATATGTTTGTATCTGAATTTGACATTTTGCCCTTGTGAAACTTACTTGCGGTTCGGCGAACTTGGTTTTGGAACTCTATTGCGTGATAATCTAAACAGTAATTGGTGTTTTTATCCCCTCAAAAGGAGAATTCCAGTTTCTCTTAACTTGTTATATGCATATATATACATATATCATTTTGATTATTTGATTAAGATGGTAATTTGTTCAGCGGCTTGTTTTCTTTTTGCCCTAAATTTGCTTCTCATTAGATCTAAGAATGTAATGGGCGGTCGTTGAACTTGGGATAGTGATGAATTTAATTCTAATGCTATTATTAGGCGACCCATCCTCGGTGTTAAACATGTGTCATTCTGTTCTTGATTTTAAATTTTTAATGGAAGGAGGCTAGTGATGAACTAGGGCTGAACTGTACGGTAGGATTGTAAGTGATATGTGGTGTTAATTTGGCTGGGTATCACTTTTGAAGGGTAGATATACACTTGTACCACTTTGACGTGTAACTGGACATGCTTTTCAATGGAAGTGGTATATTTGAATCTCAACTCTATAAAAGTGTAGTACTCGTCTAATTTACTCGTCAAACATACTTTCTGTCATTTTATCGTGTAGGTTCGTTGGGCATGCTAATTGGCTTTTTCTGTTGTATGGGATGTGTAAGCTGAATGGAATCAATGGTCATCTTCACTCTTGTCTTAGCTAAGTCGCCCCTTTTGATGCTTATGCTTGTAGTATATGCTTTGCGTTTAGTCAATTCTGTGGATACTTTCTTTGGAGCTTTTAGTTAGTATTATATATTTTGTTAACAATGAACTAGTTATACGTTTTGTCTACTTCGCCTTCGTCCTAGCTATGTCACCACTTGATTTGTTCTTGCCATATATGCTTTAGCTTGGTCATACTAAGGTACCTCTGATTTGGTCTGAAAATGCAAATTAGCGGTGTATGTCAATGTTGGTTAGGGCATTGTCATATTCTTTCTTACTTTTTGCAAACAGGTTTGAATGAAACTCTGATGATTAATATTGAATGGAGATTCACGTACATAAATAGGCTTAGGAAGCCTCTGACTGAAACTAACTCTAAAACTAACTCCTAATCTGGTGGCTTGATACTCTGGATATAATAGAGTTTGTTTAAAAATTAAAACCCTAACTTCCTAACCTAATAATAACTATAACGTGAGAGTAATAAATAAAAACAGAATTAATAACAAATCCTAGATTATTGGCGCCAACACTCCCCCTCAAGCTTGGCTGTAAATATTGATGAGTCCAAGCTTGTCTGCCAGGAACTCGAAAGTGTGTCTTGATAGCCCTTTAGTGAGAATGTCTGCTACTTGTTGACCCGTTGGAACATACACTATGTTGATCACTCCTGTTTCTAACTTCTCCTTGATAAAATGTCTGTCAACTTCCATATGTTTAGTCCTATCATGGTGAACCGGATTGTGTGCTATGTTGATGGTGGCTTTCTTATCACAGTAAAGCTGTGCTGGAAACTCAACTTTAATCTTAGCTCCTCTAGCAACCTTTTTATCCAGATGATCTCACATATTCCGTGTGCCATGGCTCTATACTCGGCTTCTGCGCTACTTCTTGCAACAACGGCTTGTTTTTTGCTGCGCCAGGTCACTAAGTTCCCCCACAACAAGGTACAGTAACCCGATGTGGACTTCCTATCCTCCACTGAACCTGCCCAGTCAGTGTTGGTAAAGACTTCAATCTTCCTCTTGTTGTGCTTTCCAAAAAACAGTCCTTTCCCTGGCGTTCTCTTTAAGTACTTGAGTATTCTATACACAGCATCAAGGTGTCCTCTACATGGTGAGTGCGTGCATTGGCTGACTAAACTGACAGCGAACGTGATGTTTGGCCTTGTATGTGAGAGGTAGATTAGCTTACCAACCAACTGTTGGTATCTTCCTTTGTCCACTGGATCTCCTTCGCCCAGTTTTGCCTTATTTCCTGAGTCAACTGGTGTCTCCGCTGGTTTGCAGCCATGCATACCTGTCTCCCTTAATAAATTCAGTACATATTTCCTCTGCGACATAGAAATTCCTTTTTGGCTCTTAGCAATCTCCATTCCCAAAAAATATCTGAGTGGTCTAAGATCTTTGACCTCGAATTCCTTTGCCATCATCCTTTTGAGTTCTTCAATTTCTCTGGAATTGTCACCTGTAAGAATTATGTCATCTACATAAACTATCAAAATAGTGGTCTTTCCATCTAGTGCATGTTTGACAAACAGAGTGTGATCCGTTTGTCCTTGTGTATATCCATGGCCCTTGATTACCCTTGAAAAACGGTCAAACTACGCGCGTGGTGACTGTTTTAGACCGTACAATGACTTCTTTAATCTGCAAACTACTCGGCTTCTTTGGTGATTGTCAAATCATTGTGGTAAATCCATGTACACCTCTTCTTCTAGTTCGCCATTTAAAAAAGCGTTCTTCACATCGAGTTGATACAGTAGCCAATCTAAATTTGCTGCGAGAGATAGCAAAACTCGGATTGAGTTGAGCTTGGTGACTGGAGCAAAGGTTTCCGTGTAGTCTATTCCATAAGTCTGTGTAAATCCTTTTTCTACCAAGCGCGCTTTGTACCTTTCTACTTCACCATCTGGTTTGTATTTTACTGTGAACACCCATTTGCATCCACGGTGTTTTTTCCTTGAGGAAGTTCAACCAAGTCCCAAGTACCATTCTTCTCAAGTGCTTGCACTTCCATAACTGCCTTTTTCCAAGCTGGATCAGCAATAGCATCTTCTATGGACCTGGGAATATCAACACTAGACATCTTGGTGGTAAAGGCACGGAATGAGGGAGATAAATTGTTATATGACTCAAACTTGGCGATGGGATGTAATGTACACGACCTAACACCTTTTCTATGAGCAATTGGAGCATCTAGATTGTCAAGACCAGAATTTTTATTTGGAGGTTTTTCTGAATTACCTGGAGGACTCGGAGGTGAAGGAGTCTCTATCACCGGTTCAGTTTCTTGGTAGTGGATAGGATTCATGCTTTCCTTATTTCCTTGGTTCAGTCTTTTCCGAGAACAGACCAAGAGTTCTTGTTGAGTGTGCCTGACCGAGTCTCCCCCTGCTCCTAAGATCGGTTTTTTCTGTTGTGACAGTGGTAAGGAAGACAGATTTTCAGATGGTACAGCTTCTTCTATTGGTAAAGCAATTGTTTCCCAAAACTGAGCTTCCATTTCACCATTCTCCCCCTGAAGCGAAGAGGGTGAAAAATATGGTTTGTTTTCAAAGAAAGTGACATCCCTTGACACGTAGAATTTTCTGGTTATGGGAGAATAGCATCGGTATCCTTTCTGGGTTGGAGAATAGCCAAGAAACACTGTTTTTATTGCTCGGGGTTCTAGCTTACTACGGTTCACAGAGTATTCATGGACAAAGGCTGTACATCCAAAGGTTTTAAGTGGCAGATTGTTAAGAGTATGGAGATGTGGATAGGCCTTGGTAAGAACTGAAATTGGAGATTGGAATTTTAAGGTGCAGTTGGGAACACGGTTTATGAGAAAACTGGCAGTAAGAATAGCATCACCCCATAGGTACTTAGGTACATTCATGGTAAACATGAGAGCACGAGTAACGTCTAGGAGGTGCCGATTTTTTCTTTCTAAGACACCATTTTGTTGTGGTGTCTGAATGCAAGAGCTTTGGTGAATGATGCCATTTGTGGTTAAGTATTCCCCTAGGATGGATTGAAAGTATTCTTTTCCATTATCAGTTCTTAATACACGGATTTTGGTTTGAAATTGGTTTTGAATCATGTTGTAGAAATTTTTGAACACTTGACATGTCTCAGATTTTTCTTTCATCAAGTAAACCTAGCTAACCCGTGTTTGATCATCTATAAATGTGACAAACCATCTCTTTCCAGACATTGTGGTTACTCTAGAGGGTCCCTATACATCGCTGTGAATTTAACCAAATGGAATAGAAGGCATATATGGTCTAGGAGAGTATGGAACATGAGTGTGTTTTTGCAAGTTGACAAATATCACATTGAAATGAAGGCAAATCTTTATTTTTGAACAACATTGGAAGCAAATGCTTTAAATATGGAAAGCTAGGGTGGCCAAGTCTATGATGCCACAACATTATTAACTTATCACTAGGAACAGAATGAGACTCAATACTAGACACATGTGCTTGTCCCAACTCGGAATTCTCTTCTTCAAGGAAATAAAGTCCGTCAAGAAGTCTAGCATTGCCAATCGTCTTCCCCGATGATATCTCCCGAAATTGACACAAGGATGGAGAAAAATGAGCAACACAATTGTTATCCCTAGTGAGCTTGCTTATAGACAAAAGATTGCATTTTAAGGCAAGGACATGTAAAACAGAATTGAGAGTCAACTTTTTTGACACCCTAATTGATCCTATTCCAGCTATGGTTGACAAAGATCCATCTGCAATTTTTATTTTGGAATTACCAGGGCAAGGGGTATAAATGCAAAAGAATTGAGATACACCTGTCATATGATCTGAGGCCCCTGAATCGATGATCCAAGGTTCCTTAATTTTTATGGAAGCACTAAGGGTTGAAAGGAAGTTACCAGCTTGGGCCAGTGAACAGGACCCGACACTAGGGCTGGATTGAGATGTTTGAAGAGACGTTTGGTTGAGGAGATGATAGAGATGCTCAAGTTGTTCCTTGCTGAACTGGATATTGTTGCTTGCAGTCTAAACTTTTGTTGAAAAGCACTGGTTGTTCCATCACCACTAGCTGCAGCTTGGAATCCTCTTCCTTCATTTGATCTTCTTGGAGTCCAGTTGGCTGGTTTGCCATGAATCTTCCAGCAAATGTCTCTTGTGTGTCCCAAACGATTGCAATGATCACACCACATCCTCTCTCGTTGTGTGTTTCTGGTTTCACGGACCCCTTGCAGTAAGTGCAGAATTTTCGGTGGTTTGTTGATTCAGTAAAGCTGGCTGATTTGATTGGCTATCAGTTATCATAATCTTTCGCCTACTTTCTTCTCTACGAACATCTAAAAAAGCCTCTTCAGCGGTAGGAAAGGGGTCTTTGCTTAAAACTCGGCCTCTTACCTCATCAAGTTCTTTGTTGAGGCCTGCAAGAAAGTCGAATACACGCTCCCTGTCTATGAGACGTCGTTGCTTCACGTTGCACTCTGGACATCCTAAATCTGCCACGAGGAACAAATCTAGTTCTTGCCAAATATTCTCAATTATGTGAAATATTGCATGACAGTTTGAGTTCCTTGCTTCGTCTCCTTCATTTTTGAGCGGAGTTCGAACACTTGAGATGCGTTACCCAAGTCAGAATAGGTCTTCTGCACAGCATCCCAGACTGCTTTAGCGGTTGGGAGAAACAGATATGTGCGACTTATCTTGGGCTCCATAGAATTGATCAGCCATGCTGGAACGATGGAATTCTCTGCAAGCCATGTTTGATAGGCTGGTTCGGTTAGTGCTGGAGGCTTTGTTTCACCAGTGATGTAACCTAACTTTCCTCTGCCACAGATCACAATTTTGACGGATTGGGACCATTGAAGGTAATTTTTGCCATTGAGTTTGTACGCAGTAATCTGGAGAGAAGTATTGTCTCCTTGAAACGTCGGGATAGAGGCTTGTTCTGCCTGTGTTTGGCTAGAGGGATCGGTGGTAGTTGATGTGGAGTCATCTGCTCCCCCTCGTGCAGGTCTCGTCATGGCTATTTTTACCATGAACGAGTCTCAGAGTTCTGGCTCTCATACCATGTAAACAGGTTTGAATGAAACTCTGATGATTAATATTGAATGGAGATTTACGTACATAAATAGGCTTAGGAAGCCTCTGACTGAAACTAACTCTAAAACTAACTCCTAATCTGGTGGCTTGATACTCTGGATATAACAGAGTTTATTTAAAAATTAAAACCCTAACTTCCTAACCTAATAATCCGGAACTACCTAACTACAACATCAGAGTAATAAATAAAAATAGAATTAATAACAAATCCTAGATTATTGGCGCCAACACTTTCTTTGTTTTTTTGGGAAAAACGTGGAGCAGAAGTAGTGTTGTAAGCTTGGAGGTTGAGCTAGTAATGTTTTTATTGTCATAGACCATTGTTAATTGTCTACTCTTATAGGGGCCAGTTATGAACAGACTCACACCCTGTATTCACTTGTGGTTCTTGTTGCTTTATTAACTAGTCATGATATGTGAGGGTAAAGACTAATTTTGGATTGACTGTCAATCTTGTTCAATACTGGCTTTGTGGCAAGGAATGTGGGCATCGTGGAGTTAATTTTCCCTATCGAGTGTTATGGTTCGCGGTCTTCTATTATTGCTTCTAGATAACTGAGATAACTTATGCATCGATTGATGCGTGAACAGTGAATTGTAATAGACTCTATACGAGGGCATGATATCACCCATTTGGAATGCCTTATTGGCCCATCTATGCAGGGTTTCTTGTGAGGTTACCAGTGGATTTCCAGCAGTAATGTAGGAAATCCTACATTATGTTGAAATCTCAACACATAAATTTGGATAAGGTGTACAAAAAGAGTGGTAGACTGTAGAAATAAATTACTCATTTCTTATCTCTTTCTAGTTGTTAATTTAAAGAATTCTTTTTTCCTGAGCAGAGCGAATTTAAAAAGTGATGAATTATTGCTTATTTCCTTCATTTTTTTTATACAACCCGCAACCTCCCCAAACTCCATTCCACCCAAGCCCTCCCCGGTGCCACTAGACTGAACGGTCTTAGGCTGCTTATTTTCTTCTTATGATCAACGTAAATGTATAGTAATGTTCTCTGGATATCATATGCTATTCCATCACTTGTTAACCGATAAGTGAAATCTGTAACTTTATATTTATTTGTTTGTTTATTTTGCTGATTAGCTAAAGATAAAACGTTTTGTATGTCTTGTCTTTTGATATACAGTATGTGATGGTTGTGCTGAAGGGTTCGGTACCCATATCCTTTGGCGGGACTGAGCAGCCTGCTGCCTATGGTGAGTTGGTTTCAATTGGTGGCCTTAGCCCTGACGTGAACAAGAAGCTGAGTGCTGCAATTGCTAATATTCTTGAGACCAAGTTGTCTGTGCCCAAGTCACGATACTTCCTCAAGTTTTACGACACCAAGGTGAGCCTCTCAACTTCTTAAGTTTTCAGAAGCTAGGTCATTCTTCTGCATGCATTTCTTTCTCATTGCATCCCTCCTCTTTGTTTAGGCCAATCAAACTCAAGAATTTGCTCGGTGTTTGCATGCTTTACACCAGAACTAGAATCATGTAAATAAGTCTTTACTATTGAAACCCCGAGCAAAAACAGTTTTTTAGCTTTCTGCGATGATGTAATTCAGTTTTTATTTTTTATTTTTGTTTTTTGTCCAACTATTCGGTATTTTCAGTCAACTCGTGCCATATGCCATTTCTTATGCGGTTCTGTTGCTTCAATTATTTTGCAGGGTTCCAACTTCGGATGGAATGGATCTACCTTTTAATCTGTCTGTTAATTCAGACTAGGGTGAATTCGCATGCAGTTGATACCCTTTTTCCAAGTATGGTCAAGATATTATGTATTCTCTTCATGCCTTAATTTTAGGAGTTGTCCAAAAACTTGTACTTGTATGCGTCTGTGGTATGCATCCTTAGAAAAACTTGTGTTTACTTGGAATTGCCAGAAATGATGTTAACCCTGCTAAGGCTTAACAGTTCCTTGCTGTGGTCTTCACTACTATTAACTGTTTTAATAATTCCGTTCCTTGATGAGGTTATGGTTTCCTTTCTCCTTAGTTTGATACAGATTTAAGGGTTAATATCAAAAAATGGTCCCTAAGCTTTATGTCTAATCCTAATTTAGTCCCTAATTTTTAAAATCTCACTTTTAGTCAATAATCTGTTACTTTGTTTCAATTTGATCCCTCCACAAATAGTCCCTGAGCTTTAGATTTTCTCAATTTCGGTCCCTAATTTCCGTAGATTCCGTTCAATATTTAACATAAAGTTAACAACGGGATAAAAAATGTAACAAAATAATAGATTAGGGGACTAACAGTGAGATATTTTAAAAGTGAGTGATTAAAATGAGATTGAGGGATGAAAATGGGTTCAAATCAACATTCTTGATTATGACTAGTGAAATTCAAATTTTTTTAAGAGAAAAACACTATAACAGAATCAAAACCATGAGTTTGCACAGTAACAGAACTCTACCAAACATACAAATGTGATGCAATTCAAGCACCATGGTTTATGTTACTTCTAGTCGCGTTCTGGCTTCTTGAGGTTCTGTTTTTTTGTGGTTGCAGCTTAGTGTTTAATTGACACTTTAATTCCAATTAAAGGTAAAGTTCAAATACTTGTCTCAAGTTTTTGTTTTCTTTTTTTTTTTTGTTTTTTTTTTTTTTTTTGTTTTTTTTTTTTTGGAGTTTTTCCGGTGTTTTTTCCTTTTTAGGAATACACTTTTTAAAAATACCGGTATTTTTTACTTTTTTAACCGTTAAATTAGATAATTATATTAGATTAAAAAATTATATATTTAATAATTGAAAAGTAAAAAATACTGGTGTTTTTAAAAATAAAAAACACCAGTAAAAGTTCCTTTTTTTCTACGGTCAAACTCGTACTTTTTTGTGCTCTTGAATGCCTAGCCAACATGTACTCAGGTCCGTCCTTAATTGAGTTGTTAGATCTGAAAACCTATTTCTCAATAGTTTATGTAATACATTTAGCTGTGTGGGGAAGGCCTCCTTTCTTCGTCTCCTTCATTTTTATGAAAAAGAAAAACATATTTTGCCATGGTTAGGTTGCGAGGAAAATGAGAAAGGGATACCTCTTCTTCCTTTGATGTATACGCGTTGTGAAACTTGCAGTTACAGGAAAACAATTGGAAGGGAGAAAGAAAAAAAAAAAGTTAAATTCATGAGATGTCTCTGAGCTTTTTTCTTTTCCCATAATTAGTCTTTCTATTGAAAACTGTTTTATCTTAAACCTTTTAAGTGTTTTAAATGTAGTCTTTTACATTCTTTTAAAATTTGGATGAAAAATGTTAACATATTAGTAGTTAATTTTTTTTTTTTTTTTCAAAAATGGACAATGGAAGTACATTTTTAGAGTAAGTGTCCGTTCACCCTTTGCAAAATCATTAATAATTTATCCCTATTAACCTTCCTATTCTTAATACATAAATAATTTATCACTATTTTGGTTTTAGTGTGTTTCATCTAAAATAAATAAATAAATAAAGCATGCATATGCATATATACCAAGAGCAATGATAATCCCTAAAAAAAAAAAAAAACAAAGCACTCGTATACATACATAAACAATAAACAACAAAAGTGCATTTAAAGCTTTTCAGCCCAAAAAAGAAAAAAAAAACAAAAGGAGAGGAACAAACAACAAAACAATAGCAGATGTTCAGAAGTTAGCCCCAAATTTCCTTCCCAAAAATTGGAGGTGGCTTCTCTACTGGTTTCTTTTTTCGCATGAAAAGGGTTTTTTTATTATTATTTTTTTTTTTTTGAGATTGTTCTCACTGGCTCTTCTAAATTTTTGAGTCATTTTTACTATACTCTTTAAATTTTGAAAATTCTCATTTATCTCTTAAATTTTAAATTTGTCTTATTTAAGTATTTTTGTAAGAATTTTTGTTAAAATTGGACATAAAAAGAGAAAATTAAGTGCAGTCATATGGTGTTTATTTATTTATTTTTAATAAAAATTTAAATGAAAATGCCACATGACTGCGTTATTTTCTTTTTTTTTATATTTGTTTTTAATAGAAATTACAATAGAAAGGGCAATTCAAAGTCTAGGGTCTAAAATGAAAGTTTTTAAAACTTAAAGAGCAAATTGAGATAACTCTAAAGTTTAAGAGACAATAATTAACTAAATGTAATTGATGGACTAAATTTATGACACTTAACTCCCGTTTATTTTATATATTTAAACTTAAATTATTGATTTTAATTTTTGTTACAATTTTTTTTCTCATAAAAAACTTGAATTTCAAACGTCAAAATTAAAAATTATAGTTTGAGTATACATTCAGAAAGGGATCTTAAAGAACTTAGGATTTAAGATAGAATAGTTTTTAGTAGAAGGACTAACTATAAGAAGTGAAAAATATTCAGGGACTAAACTAATGAATTTAACTAAAAAAAGAATGGTCGTTTCTTTAATAGTTCAATATTCATCAACGCGTGAGATGGCCCAATTCAACTGGTCAGTGTTTCGTCATCGGTGGTCGTTTACTCGTCCATTTTATGAAGTCGACGGCCACGATTGTTTTTTATTTTTTTATTTTGTTTACACCACTCTTACGTCGGTGCATTAAAAATAAAAGATAAAAAAATCTTTTCATTCGAGTCCTTTGCTATTTCCATCGATCTTCCTGGTCTCGAGTCACGCGTTTGTCTACACCTTCTTCAAATCGAAAAAACCCTCCTCTCTCTCTCTCTCTCTCTCTCCCCCACCACCAAAGAAATTAGAAAAATCTTTTCATTCAAGTCCTTTTCTTTTTGCTCTTCTCTCAGATTCGTTAACAATGGCGTCTTCTCCGCCGGTGCTTCCGATCTCCAATTCCCAGCCCCCCGTACCCGTTGCGGCCACCGGAGCTGGATCTGCCCAGTCTCAGGCTCCGATCCAGACACCGGCGTCCCGCGCATTCATCGGCCACATCTCCGATTCTCTCCGCCACGGCCTCTCCCAGCGCCGCCCTTGGTCGGAGCTCTTCGACCGCTCCGCTTTCGCCAAGCCGGAGTCGTTCTCCGACGCCACACTCCGCGTCCGCAAGAACTACTCCTACTTCCGCGTCAATTACATGGCGATCGTTGCCGCCATTCTCGCCGTCTCGCTCCTCACCAATCCGATCTCTCTCCTCGTTCTCCTTGGTCTTCTCTCGGCCTGGCTCTTCCTTTACCTTTTCCGTCCCTCCGATCAGCCTCTCGTCATCTTTGGCCGTACATTTTCCGACACGCAGACGCTCTGGGGCCTGATCGGGCTCAGCATCTTCGTCGTCTTCCTCACCAGCGTCGGATCCGTCATTATCTCCGCTCTTATGCTTGGATTCGCCGCTGTCTTCGCGCACGGGGCTTTTAGGGTTCCTGAGGACCTCTTCTTGGACGAGCAGGAGAATTCCGCCTCCACCGGTTTCCTCTCCTTCCTCAGCGGCGCGGCTTCCAATGCTGCCGCCGCCGCGGCACCTGCCGTCGTCGCCGCTCGTGTCTGATGATTAAGCTCCTACCTAATTGTCGCTGATGGAGGAGAAGTCGAGTTTGGGTAATTCGTATATAAACACACATTCTTCGTTCTTTTTGTTCAATTGGAATTCTTAGCTTTCCGTAGAGACAATAAAGTTGACGTTTTTGTCCTATAAATCTAAGTTTGATAGAGATGCAATCTATATGGATCTGTGTTATACAACATTCAGAACTTTTTATCGCTGGATCTATTAGTTCTTTGTTTTCTTTTTCTGTTTGTGGATTTCATATGATACAATCTGTATCTTACATTTTGATAAATGTTTTGTTTTCTTTGTTCTCTTCTGTGCAAATGTATGTGGAAGGATTCTGCATATTCTTCAAAATTGAAATCTGGTTCATTAGATCTTTATCCAAGAATCCGATGTATGTTTCTAGATCTGTGCATTAGCTTTGATGTACGGGGATCAAAGCATCAAACCCACTGATCTGCATAAAGCTCTCATCTTACTTGGTTTTTACACAAATTATTATTTATCTGCAAAGGATTTACTTAAATTTTGCCAACATAGTTTAAAGATTGTATATGAGATGTGTAGCAATATGTCGTTTAAGTTGTGGTTAGACTGCATTTATGAAATGGATAGAAGTTTGGGAAGCATGGATCGTCTCTATGAGTCTCCATCTGTGTTGCTACGAGCTCTTTTCATGGTTGCCTAATGTTCCTTGTGTCTTCTTCTTTTACATGAATTCCGTATCATGCGCTAACATGCAATGCTGAATATTGTGATAGTATTAGAATCCTAAAGTCAAAGAATCTGATTGACAAGTATGAAATTTCAATTAGAGCTTGTAATGTGATTATTATCGAGTATAGCAGGAAATATGATTATAATTGAGTGAGTGCATGTGATATGATTACAGTGAGTTCAATGTGTGAGCTGGGTCTACTTTAGATTTCTATTAGTTTTTCACAGTAAATTCTTCTTCTGATACCAAACCTCCTTTGAGTTGAATAAATGATATATTAAGAATTAATGGGACTTTAACCGGAACTAGTTGATGGAGTAGACAATTTACTTGTGTGATGTGTCTTTAGAATCCATGGGCGTTAGTTTTCACTTTAGTCTTGTACTTTTGGTATACATACACCGCACAATCATATTAGGCTCACATCATAATTTCCATAACATAATTTTTACCAATAACAGTAAACTTCTAGCGTTTTTTAATGCTTCGGTTCTAAAGTTATTGATGCATGTTAGCCATAGTCGATGTAGGTTGCATCTGATGCTGTAGTGGAATGATTTAGTGTTTGCGCGGACTCATTTCTGTAATCTGTCTTAAACTCTTCTCCCTGTAAATTAGTCAATTTTATCCGTCAAACAGGATCACTAGGTAACTAGGTTAATATTTTTAATTTTATTGCCATTGATGTTCTAGTTATATTATGTGTTCATGAAATGAAAGCATCTTAGTACTGTTTACCAAATATGAAAGCGTCTTAGAAGAATGAGAAAGTTCTAGACATGTTGACCGGATTTTCTTTTGGGTGCCGTTAGACATCGAGAGCTTAAGAAAAATAGTTTGGTATGGAGGCTCCTCCTATTTTGTTATTCTAGTAGTGTCATAGTAGTTCGCTGGTTAGCACTTAAACCAGGCTATCTCCACTTCTTAGTTCTAACCCTGTTTGATTCACGGTCAATAATCCAGGGAGTTTCACTTCCAACACGATCACACGCCCTAGCATAGCCATTTCCGGAACAATATCAAGAATAAATATTTTCCTCTTTTAATCACATCACCATGGCTGATAAAATGGGAGCGGAGGCTGATGGAGTGAACTTTTTGATTTGTTCTAAAAGACAACTTTTTCATCTCATGTATTAGGGCTTTTAACAATTCAACATCATTTTTTTTTAAATGCATCAGGGCTTGTGAGATATGCAACTTATGCTATGCTTTCAAAAAAAAAAAAAAGACATGCTAATATATGCTATGCAACTCCCTCAATAAATATATGAAAAATTATACTTCTATAGATTTTATTTTCATAATACCTAATTTAATCCCTTTCATACACCCGCTCTAATTTACATTACGATTTGATATAGAAAAAGTAATGTTAGGGAAACTATATTTGCCCCGTAAAATTTATTAATGTGCCCACAAATCCATATAAATTTTATTTTTATACACCTTTCAAAAATTTTGTATCAAGTTTAATCTAGAAACTTTATGGGTCCCTCGATTATATGAATTGTTCATAAAAGTATGATATTTTGTATCTAGTATTCATGAATTCTGTCTTTTTATTTTTATTTTTCTCTGAACAGGATGATTTTATTAATTCAAATCCAGGAAAATAGAGCTAGATATGTTTTTTTTTAATTCAAACCTGTTTAGTTCGCTGATTCGAGTTTTTAATTCGAGTTTATATGTGACTTTATGTGAGAGTTTTTTATCATAGTAAAAAGTTAGATGTTATTGTTTCTGAGAGCTTTTTACTGTAACAAAACTCGAATTTTAAACTCGAATCGGTGAAATGAATGAGGTCTTATTATTCCACTTTACATCTATCTTCTTCTTCCTTTTTGTTATTTTTAATTATTTTATTTTTATTTTTTTATAAGCCAACGATGATGGCTAAAGGGAAGCATGGCTCAAAAGCTTATGGCTCAAAAGCTTATGGCTTAGTTTGGTATTGTTTTTTTTTTTCAAAATCAGCTTCTGCTTGTAGCATAAATTGATTTTAGTGTTTGGTAAATCTTCTTAAAAGTACTTTTTGAAGAATTTTTCAAGAATCTACAGCCAATATCAGAAGCAGCTTAAAGACAATTTTAACTTTTAAATTGTGTGAGAATCAACATAGTACAATTCATAAAACTTTCATAATACCTATAATACCCTTAATAAAATTTAAAATTTACAATCTTCTCAATCTAAAATTCAGACTCGTAATATAATATAATATAATATAATAATAATATTGTAACAAATAATATCATAATTATATTAATAA